CATTTATTTAAATATTCCCAAAAATATTATCCTGATAATCTTCCTTCAGAATTACATTCATTCAGAATCCTGCTGACTGCAAAGTTTGGCAAGACACAGAAAAGGACTTTGTTTCATATAATCGTGGAATCCCAGACTGGTTTGGGTTGGAAGGGACCTTAAAACCCATCCAGTGCCACCCCTGCCATGGGCAGGGACACCTTCCACCAGCCCAGGTGGCTCCAAGCCCTGTCCAACCTGGCCTTGGACACTTCCAGGGATCCAGGGGCAGCCACAGCTTCTCTGGCCAACCTGGGCCAGGGCCTCCCCACCCTCACAGCCAGGAATTTCTTCCCAATTTCCCATCTCTCCCTGCCCTCTGGCAGTGGGAAGCCATTCCCTGGGTCCTGTCCCTCCTTCCCTTGTCCCCAGTCCCTCTCCAGCTCTCCTGGAGCCCCTTTAGGCCCTGCAAGGGGCTCTGGGGTCTCCCTGGATCCTTCTCTCCTCCAGGGGAACCCCCCCAGCTCTCCCAGCCTGGCTCCAGAGCAGAGGGGCTCCAGCCCTTGGAGCATCTCCATGGCCTCCACTGGACTCTCTCCAGCAGCTCCATGTCTTTCTTGTGTTGAGGACCCCAGACCTGGATCCACCACTTCCATATGGGAAGTACTTTTCCATATGGACAATTTCAGGTCGGCGAGAGGCCAAAGAAACACTTTAGCCCTGTTACAGCCTTTGCCATGAGCTTGGGACACACTTGAAGCAACATTTTTTTATTCCTAAGGAATATAAACAACCGATTTCTATTCATTCATCACACAAAATAAAGGCACAGAATAATACTCTGGTCAGGCACATCTCCACACCCTCTCTGCTCCTCTCCCTTCCCTCTCACTTACGTCTTCCCAGCAAAAGCTGGCCTGTACTTGGAATTCATCCTCCCTGCACCCCTGGCAGTGCTGTTTGAAAGGAGCATTTCATTAACATGCAGTGATTTACAGCCAGAGAACAGACCGGGATTGCAGCCTAACAACGAGCTCAGCTGATTCCCTGCTCTTTGTTTGCTTTCCATGGCTGTGCTGGAGCCGTGTCCTGGCCCAGGGCATTGCCTCAGCTCTGCCTCCCGGGACACACAGCCCAGGGAGCCTGGAACCTCCCCAGCTCCTGCTGAATCCCTCCTGTGAAGGATGTACATGGGGATAGAGCCTTTATTCCATAATTCTGCTTGTGTTGGAACAGACTCACGCATTCACGTGGGGCAGGGATTTGATACCTGAACTGAGGGTGCTGGATGTTCCCTTGGCAGGTGGAATTTTCTTCTCTCTTGCCTTGCTAGAAAAAAGAAAAAAAAGGACTGAAAAAGGGCTGTGTTTTTGCTGCCCACAGTGTGGGGCCCTTGAAACAACATCTGGGACCTGTGCTGAGGCTGGGTTTTGGCAGGTGCTTTAAGCCCTGTCCTGGGGGCAGCACCACTGAGGGAAGTTGTTCTTCCCCCCCAGGATGGCACAGGATGAGCTGTGGACAAACATGGACATGGACAAATGAGCCAGTTAAACCCAGCTTTAGTCAGGACTGGTTTTTAAGCTGGTTCATTTCCCAGTCTAATCTGCCAGATGGCTGCAAGAACACTCAGAATGCAGGAGAAACAGGGAAATGAAGGGTAGGACAACTTCTTGAGAGATCACCACCCACGTGTTGTTGGTGTCTCGTTGACATCAAGTCTAATGAGCCACAGACTTTGGGATCTCGGAACTACCATCAGGAGGATTTTGGATGCTGCTTTTTGAGGTATAAGACATCACCCCACAGCTCCTGAGAATACAATAAATGTAAGATTCTGAGCTGTTCCTTTTCACTGGTGTTGCACCAAGGAGAGAAAGAAGAGATTTCATTGTTTGCCTGAGGTTTGTAGAGTGTTATTTTCCCAATAAATTAGTAGGGATCACTAAGGATGGGAGGTGGAACAGCAATCATCATTCCCTTTAGGCTAACTCCTGGACAAAACACAAGGGATTGGGACAACTGGGTGGTGAGGTCAAACCCATTTCTCCCAGTTGCTCTGAGCACAGGATACTGGTTGTTCTGGAACATGAAGTCTCTGTGCTCTCTCTTGGAATGGCTGAAAACTTCCCGGAGAACACAGGAAAAAAAGCACTGATAAACGGGAATATGACTGTACCATGTTTGTGGTTCCTTAAAGAACCTGGAATCTTATTCCCTTTTTTATAGCACTAATAAGCTACAAAAGCGTGGAGCATTTCCCAGACTCTGCAAATCCTGACAACAAAGCAGGGAAGGCACCACCAGCCTCTGTTGGGCAGGTTCTGAAAGAAAGCACAAAATAAGCTGGACAGCCATGGAAAGTGATTCTGTTGGGGTATGAAAGTCCCAAATGTGCCATCAGGACACCTCTCTGTTTTTCCTTATGACAGGTATGATCCAAGCACCTAAATTGCATTTACTTCCCTCTTTAAATCTGTTCTAACTTTAAAAATCTCCAACTTTTCTCCCTCTGAAGGTAATGCCATGAGATTCTGAGCAGTTTCTGTCCAGAAACTGAGCTGTGGTCAAATAGTTTTGGTGCCAACAAGAGGTACCTTATGGCTTTAAACTTCCCTTCAGCTTCATCAGGGTATTTCTTGCTGTAGATGAACCCTAATCACGATTTTATTTTGAAGTTCGGATTCCTGGGCTCACCAAGACGTTTTTCAGGCTCCTGAAAAGCAAGTTTGGAATCAATGCAGACTGCTCAGAGAAATCCCTGGGGGTTTTAGAGCTTCTTGTACTCCATGCTGTATTTTACTCCTCGATTTTCCCCTTCAATTAAACTCTTCTGAGTTATGAAATCCCCGCTTTTCCCTTTCCTCTGATTCACATGTGGTTAACTCTATAAATCCACAACACACAGAAATCCATTAGGATATCAACTCCAAGTCAACGCCATTCCCGTTAAGGAACTTGGCCCAGTTCAGCATCTCCAACAAACCTCCTTCACCAAACAAGCACGAACACATTGTTCAGCTCAAATCCCAGAGGGGGGCCATGTAACCACATTGGCTCATGCTCATTCCCTGGAGTTTGGAGAAATATGGCTCTTCCAGACCAGCTGAGACTTCCCAACGTGACCAAGGTCACTGGAGAACCGCCTGCCACTCTGACATTTCAATCTGAACTCTGCTGTACTTAGGTCATAACATAATCACCTCCTCCTCCCTGGCTATTCCAGCTAAACCTCTCCCTTTTACTCATTAGTAACCAACTCGGTGTTTACAAAGCAATAGTAAACACAGTTATCCATTGTCAAGGCAGAAAATAATAATAATAATAAACAATACTAATTATAAACCCTCAAATACAGGGTCAGAGGTTCGGCCACTTATCTTAAAAAGCAGACAAGGATATTTGAAGCTGCCATCATAATTATGCTGTGGGTAAAACTCCCACTGAATTCAGTGGCGTGAGGTGATTGCCATCGAAGCAGGGCACAATCCAAGATTCCCTTTGTAGGGCAAAAGTTCCGAAAACCTTTAGACAGCACAGACCTCCTGCTTTTCACTGGAAGTAGAGTTCCACATCTGCCAAGTGACAAAGCCAGCATCTACTCTTTCCCCCGCTATTTGGCATATATTGAATTTCTGAGGATTAATTTCTTGAGCAGTCAGTGATGCTTGACTGCAGCCCACACAAAACACTTGGACCAATGAGTACAAGTCTGTTTGCAATTTTGAGGGTAACATTTTAAAAATCCGTCGGCTTAGTTTGAAAGGAAACCTGAAAACAATATACTTCATTTTTTTCTTGGCCTAGGATGTGGACTCTTTCCTTTAATTATCTGCATAGAATCCTGGAATAGTTTGGGTTGGAAGGGACCTTAAAGTTCATCCAGTCCAACCCCTGCCATCAGCAGGGACACCTTCCACTATCCCAGGTTGCTCCAAGCCCCGTCCAACCTGGCCTTGGACACTTCCAGGGATCCAGGGGCAGCCACAGCTTCTCTGGGCAACCTGGGCCAGGGCCTCCCCACCCTCCCAGCCAGGAATTCCTTCCCACTATCCCATCTCTCCCTGCCCTCTGGCAGTGGGAAGCCATTCCCTGTGTCCTGTCCCTCCATCCCTTGTCCCAAGTCCCTCTCCAGCCTTTCACCCTCCCTTCAGGGAGGACCAGCACTTTCTCTTCCTCAAACTGATCATCACTGAAATCAAAGTGGTTTCCCCCCCCCCCCCCCCGAAATCCCTTTACAGGTCACATTTAGGTGGCAAAAACTGACACTTGGTTTTCCAGAGTTTTTCTATAAATTAGCTTTTTTGGAATGCGGCATCTCCATCTGCCGCAAGGGCTCTGTGTGTCACGGGGGGGACATTTGACGCCTTTTGCCACAGAAGGAAGCCGTGCTCCTCATAATCCAAACGTAATCCCAGAGAATTCCAAATCCATAATAAATAAATAAAAATAAATACATAAATTCAGTTCGAGGACGCCAAGTCCGTGCCACTTTATTTCACAGAAAAGGGCGGGAGGTTCCAGGAGGGGACGGCCGTGAGGCGATGGCCGCCCCCGCCGCCCTCACGCCCTCCCCTAGGGCGCCTTTCCCAGCCCTCCCGCTCCCCGCCTTTTCCCGGGATTTCCCCATTTTCTCCACCCTTTTTTTTTTTTCCCCCCGTGTCCCGGGGCCCCTGAAGGGCTCGGCTGAGAGCCGGCGGGGCCGGCAGCACCTCCCTCATGTCTGTGGGAGGGAGCGGAGCTGCCCCGGGCGCCCCCGCCGGGCCCCCGGGACTGTGACGGGGCAGGGCCGGCTCCGGCTCCTCCTTCGCCGGCGGGAAAACGAAAGCGAAAGGAGAGGTCTCGGGAGTGCTCGGAGGGCTCTGGGGAGCCGGGGGATCCCAGGGTGTGCCCTCAGCCCGGGACCGGTGTCCGTGGGTCCCACCCGCGAGGTGAGCGGCGATGGAGCCCCCGGGGCGCGGGGGACGCGGAGAAGCCAAGGGAAGATGTTATTCATTTTACCCTTTCACTTGCCTCTTTTTCAGGAAGCGGAACAGAAAGAAGTCCGTAAGTTTTGGTTGCTTGATCCCAAACCGGGGAAGGGATTTCTGGAGCGTTAACTCGATTTCAAGCCTCGCTGGTGAGTGAAGCGGGTTCGGTGGCGGCGGGTCTGAAGCGAGGGGAGGATTCGCCTCAGGAATGCCTGGGTGGGTCGGGATGTTGGGCTGCACCTTCTGGGGTGCCGGCACTGCTCAGAGTGTCCAACCTGGGGGGTTTCTAACCTTAATCTAAGGGTGCCAACCTGTGGTTCTTCTAACCTTAGTCTAAGGGTATCCAACCTTGCCCTGCCCCGGCATCGATAAGCTGGATTTGCCCGGCAGCCTGTGCACTTTGGAATCGCATCTGGATCGGTGGCCCATGAACTTCTCTAAGTCCCTTTTTATCTGCCTCCACAAAATGTTGTGGCAACGGATTCCGGATTCTACAATATCCGCTGCGTAAAAGCGTTTTCATTTGCATTAAGCAGGTTTCATAGGATCCCAGATTGGTTTGGGAACCAAACCCAGACTGGGTGGGAAGGGACCTTAAAGCCCATCCAGTGCCACCCCCTGCCATGGGCAAGGACACCTTCCACCAGCCCAGGTTGCTCCAAGCCCCGTCCAACCTGGCCTTGGACACTTCCAGGGATCCAGGGGCAGCCACAGCTTCTCTGCCCAACCTGTGCCAGGGCCTCCCCACCCTCCCAGCCAGGAATTCCTTCCCACTATCCCATCTATCCCTGCCCTCTGGCAGTGGGAAGCCATTCCCTGTGTCCTGTCCCTCCATCCCTTGTCCCAGTCCCTCTCCAGCTCTCCTGGAGCCCCTTTAGGCCCTGCAAGGGGCTCTCAGGCCTCCCCAGAGCCTTTTCTTCCCCAGGTTCTCAAGCACAGAACACACAGGATGTTACCATGTGTGTAACAGCACAAAAGTAGCATAAAGGAGTTTTAGAACAGAAAAGCTGAATTGTTCACTGCAGAATTCCTGACATCCATCTCTCTTTACGCTTAGGAAGGAAAGAGGCTGCAGATATGCACTATCTATCACTTCTGCCTATAAAATGATACATTTAAGTTTAAAAGTTCTTCTAGCTCAGCACAGCTTCTGGTATTCCTTCCTGATATGCTGTTGCAAAAAAAACCCCCAAACAATACACCCAGTGTTGTCATTTTTTTTCTCCTGGTCCCTCAGGTTTCAATGGATTTGACAAGCCCCCCACTACCTCTAAGGGACAATGGTTTTGTGAGTATTTCCTGATGGAAATAAAATGTGCATTTGATATGTATCTCTGCATGAACGTTTGTTCTAGGGCTGCTAAGTCTGTCTCACCTTCCTCCACCCTGTGGTACCTGGGACATTCCTCATTCTCACCTCCTTTATCCTTAGGGAGAGTCACATTCCAAAGTCTCTGCATTCCAGATCCTGTTGGAACTTCCCTGTCCTGCCTCTCTTGCTCATCTCTTTGTGGTGATTTTTTAGGGGAATTTCCTTTTTCCTGGGGACTCCCTTGATTCAGTTCCAGCAGCGCACGTGTGTTTGGATAGGACTTTCCCTGGGTTTTCTTGTGTTTTCTTGCTAATCTTTTTCCCTTTTTTTCAGGTTGAAAACTGTTGTCTTAGATAATATTTCAGTAAAAAACAGGAGTCCTTTTTCTTACCAGCTTCCAGCTGTTGGCAGGTGCATCCTCCTGCTTTCCTGCACTCAATCCCTTGAGTGAAGGAATATTTTCCCAGTTTGAAGTAATACACAGATGGGCATTCCCCTGTTGCTTAACAGGCATTTGAAACTTGTCAAAGTAGCAGAAAAAACACTTTCTGTTTATTGTCTGTAGGAAATACCCAGCATCACCAAGAGAATTCACAAGATTATCTAATTTAGACCTTTTCCATGCCTAAAGTTCATGGTTCCCGTTCAGGTTTTATGTAATCTTAAGTAAAAGAAAGGGATTGGTTCAGTGGGTCTCTTTGGATTTTTTTTTGATCTTCTGCAGAATGTTGCAGCCATAGAAACAAAACAGAACAAAGAAGATTTTCTGTCTTTTTGGGCTTTATCCAATTGTAGTTTCCCCCGTGCTTGTGAACTTCTGCCCTGAAGTACTTCCGTTCTGAAATGGTTCTTTTACCACCTTCCTTAATATTACCTTTTATTTTCCAATCTCCTTGAGCCTGGAAGAATCCCATTTTGACATTTATTTTCCTCATTTATACTTTTTTTTTGAGGAACTGCTGAGAAAGCACGGAAGGGGTTTGTGGGTTCAAGGGCCTTAGTTCTGTGTGGAAGAACATGAAGACAACTTGCTTTTATTAACTATCCAAATATTACCCTGTGGATATTTGAAGTTGGATAGTTAAGAAATAATAATGAGTGACCAGTAATCCACATTTTCTTAGATTTTTGTCCTACCCAGCCATTAAAATAGTCCAATAATTAGGCCTAAGTGAATGATTTTTTTTTTGTAAATTATATGGTATGTGCTCTCCTCTGGAGGTTCTAGAAAGATTTAATTATGGAATATTTGACTCCTCACATCTCTTGCCTGCACAATTAGAGAGAAATGGCAAAATACTTTGGATTTGATTGGGCACTGCTGTGGCAAAATGCTCCATCCAGCTGCAGAGGGTTTATTTCTGTTATTTTGAAGACTCATTTGTTTGATGTGGGAAGGGGAGAACCAGTGTGTGCCTCTTTTCTCTGCAGGATATGATAACCCCTGAACCTTTTGGGACAGAGGAGGAGAACATGCAAAGACTTAAGGAAGAACTGAAGGCATGGAAGGCAAGTTCTGTAAAACACATGGTATGGTGGTAATTAGCTCAAAGATAAAGACTTTTAATCCCTTCTTCTAAAACCAAATCAACCCTGCCTTGGTTATAACATGTTTAACGTGTTCTCTATTTTTCTTTCAATGCTTGTGTTGATCTCAGTGGTAACTGCTCCTGTAAGCCTAATATTTACCCAAAGTGTTAAAAATAAATACAAAGGGCTCCCTCAAGGTTTTGTTTGTTCCCATGAAAAAAAAAGAGAAATTAAAATCTTTTTTCTGTTTTGCTACCCAGGAAAGAGTTGTAGAAGCTGAAAATCTAAAAGCTGACCTTCTTTTCTCCAATGTATGTGCTGAGGAAGAGTGTGCCAAGGCACAGGAGGAGTTGATGAAGCTGAAAGGCTTGCAGGAGAATGATCAGAAGGACAGTATTACATATAGGGACACCCTTGAGGTATGGAAAAGGCTGTTAGGATTTGAGGGGTTGTGAAGGAGCTGTTGGTTAGAGAAAAGAGGAGTAATATTTTCTTTCCAGCTTAAATGGCTTTGCCAGTTTGTGGAATGTACAACTAGAATGTCCTACACATTTTTTCCCCCACACATTATCTTTTTCACTGGCAGGTTATAAACTAATGCAATAAAATAAGTCTGTTTTGTGTGGGTGAAAAGTGACAAAACCAGTCTTCCTCTTCCAAGATTCTCCACTTTTGAGTTTCAGTTCTGTGTGATGTGGATAAAATGGAATGGGTTGATTCCACTGCTCCCTGTTTTATAAGAGGTTACAGCACCCAGGGGATCAGCATTTCTTAAGTGACAGTGAGCTGGGCAAGACCAGCACCTGTTTGAGGGTTTTTTTCCTTCCTTGAAGTAGTTGTTTCTAGAGCTAATTGGTTCATTCCCTCAATATTCCATGTGCAGTCCATGGTGCAGGAGAAGATTCCATAGGCTGACAGAGGAGGGGATTTTGGGGAGGTTTGGTTTGACCTGTAGATCACTGATAAGAAATCCAATATTACAAACTATTAACATATAATTAATAGGTTGAGTACATTCAGGTCAGCATGACCTCAAAGTTGGGTTTGGTTCTTTCATCTCTTAAATCTCAAATGTTTGGATTTTATACCCAGAAAAGGTCGTTCTCATCATCTGGCTTTTGTTTTACCTTGTCTTCAGCTGGTGGGAAATGTCTCCAGTGGTTGATGACTTTAAAGGAGCCACCTTCTAATTGGGGATGGCTGGAGCTGACAACATCTGCTCTGTTTCCTACTCATTCTGTCGTGTTCCCTGTCCAGGAATTCCTGGATTTAGTTCCGGGGGCTTTGTGCCCAAGTAGGATCCACTGGTGTGGAGGAAGGAGAGGTCATCCCTCTTCCTTGCTGAAGAATATAAAGAGGGAAGAGCAGCAGCATGTCAGAAGCTGCCCAGATTTTGCTGAAATGTATTTTTGCCTTTATTTCTGTGTTTGCTTTTGCATTTCCTACTTTTTGGGCTGCAGGACCAACTCTATCAGCTGCACAGAGAAAACACTGAGCTGAAGAAAGACATTGAAAAGCTCAACAAAGACCTTGAAGAACTAAGTTCAGTGCAGGCACAGAATACTCAGGTAAACCTGGGAATATTTCTACATTGGTCTTTTAGAAGGGCAAATTTTTATTTTCACAGAATCATGGAATGGTTTGGGTTAAAAGTGACCTTAAAACTCCTCTTGTTCCATCCCCAGGGACAAGAGGATGGAGGAAAGGGAATAAGTCATTGTATGACTTAATAAGTCATTATATAACTTAATAAGTCATTATATGGCTGAAATGTATAAATACATTTGCCATTGTATGGCAAATATAGCATTTATTTTAGCTTTTATTGACCTTGACTTGATTACAGTCTCTCTTATATTACATAAATACATCTCATATTACATGAATTACACCTCTCATCAATAACTCAGTTTGCAGCCAGATAAATATTTGTGATGCTGAGTAGATTTAAACTCAGTGTCTTGTGGTGAAGCTGCTTCAGACTCTGGAGAATTCTGAAATTGGAATTTCTCTCTTGTGGAAATTCCAGCTTTTAAAAACCCGTTTTCATTCTAAATTGGAGGAAATAAAATTATTGGAGGAAGTATAAATTAGCACCTATTCCCAGTGCTGGAATTATCTTTAGGAAGAGTGTTTCCCTTGGCAATAGAGGGAATGGAAAGAAGCAGGTTCATAGATAAGATGGGTTTGGAGATAATTGCCAGGGATGCTTTAATTATTCTGGTTATTTTATCCTGACACAACTGGTATTTTTCTTCTACACAGGGTTTTATTTTGAAATAATGACATAAAGGGGAAAAAAAAAGTAATGTGAAACTCCCTCAAGTCCATCAAAGCAGCCTTTCCTAACCAACATTTTCAGGAACAATTTATCCCCTCCTAGTTGTAAAATATTTCTGTATTCTTACCTATTTTACCAAGATGGCAACACAAAAAGCTGTTTATTAGCAAATGGCCTGGAATTATGGAATCCCAGACTGGTTTGGGCTGGAAGGGACCTTAAAGCTCCT